TTATAGTGCACTACTTTGACAGCTAAAAACAGTGGCGTTTTGTCATCAACACCGTAAGTGAGACCAGAATTCTTGGTTTATACCCTAAGCGAGACGACAGCATCCTCGACCATTTCGTACGAGAGTTCCCCCTCCAACCTGGGGGGGCTTTCATCGAGAGATGGAGGGCTCTTCCACAAGGTGAGCTGGCTAGCTGGTTTCTTTTCATTCAAGATGTACAAGGGGATATAGATCACCTAATTAATCATTGTTTTACCAATCATGTTTGCTAGTTTCAGTCCCACAAGCCAGGAGAAGAAAGGCTGGCAGAATTAGAATTAGAATTCCAAATGGTTATTCATTCATTCATTCATTCATTCATTCATTTATTTATTTATTTATTTATTTATTTATTTATTTATTTGTTTGTTTGTTTTGGCGTTTCGGGTTTAAGTGATCCGCGTTTAGGATTTTTTATGCGTTCTGGGTTGTACTAATTTTGTGTTCCGGGTTTATGTATTCCGGCATTCCAGCGTTTCGCCGTTCCTGGGCGGTTTTAGTACAAGCCACTATTACTGATGTTTAGCCACTATTACTAGTTTAGCTGGCGATAAAAGGACTAAATATTCTATGTTAGAGACAATTAATTACCCAGATCTAAAAACTAGGACCGCAGAAGACAAGTCAATTCTTAACTTCAACTATAATACTCCTGCGCAAAAATGACGTTTTTCTCAATTTCATTTTTTTTTCTCAAGAAACTTTCTTTTTTACCTTCCGACTCTATGCTTAAAGTACATTTCGTTTTAGTATCAGCCAAATGTACTTTACAAATCGCAGGCTATAATTTTTTGCAAGCAGCGTTCTAGCCTTTGTGTAACTATAAACACTTCTCGAGTGTTTCATATCGAAACTGACCAAACAAAAGAGAAAACCGAGGAATAAACCCCCTAGCTTGAGCCTGGAATCCAATTGAAAACCATTACTGGTTAGCGCTCAACTTCAAAAAACACGTGACCTCGATGAGCTCTAAACCTGCGCCCGGGATGTGGTCACCTGATACTGGTCAGCGGATACCTTGTTTGACAGGTGTCAATGAATCTTTTCGGCGATATGGCGGCCATTTTGATTTCTATTGTTTCAAATAGCTATTATGGGATGCTCAGGGGGCAAGTTACCAATCACATTCATGTTCTAATGTCCTTGAATGCCCAACCGACCAGAAACTGTCCATGAAGACAACATGAGATGATGCCCAGGACAAGAAGTTCTCAGCGGCGAAGAAGAGCTGAAAGGAGAATAAAATTTACGTGAGAGTAGCAAATGTATGTCAGGGTCAAGGCTCATATGTAGCACACGTCCTGTGTACTAAGAGTTTTGTGCGGTGTCGTACAAATGAGATTCTTATATTTCGAAGAAGG